CCCCCCTTATTACAAAAGTAGTGCTGGGTCCCTGTGAAAATTTGAAAATAGTGAAAATGAAACCCCTTAATAATCCCACCTACCAGATACACGCACTATTTGTACTTTTGTGGGCATCCTTCTGATTAAACTACAGCTTTGTAAATTTCCTTTTCTCTAATAATAGCAGGATTTTTTTTGAATTTTATAAATAACAACATATGCCATTAGTATTAAAGGTGCCAATTATTTATCAGTCCCTGACTGTTGGATGCTGAGGCTCAACAGTGGACATTCTCCAGGACCTTTGAATTCCTCTTACCCCAGAAGGACCAGTTTGAACTGAGCCCCTGACCGTCATCTGCATTCCCACGGGGCCTGACCCTGGCTTGTGCCTGCCTGCCCTCCAGCAGCTGGGTCACATTGGTCTCAGTGCCTGTGGTGGGTCAGGTTGGTTTGGACCTTGGTCTGTAGCCATCTAAGAACTGCCCAGGTCCTGCCTGGGCCTGACACAAAGCTTCTTGAGCTTGAGGTCCCATAATTTTTCTCCTCCGCTAAGCATCACCAACTGATGTGAGAACTGAGATTTCTGCGGGGACCAGCTCTTAACCAGAACAGCTAAAACCTGCGAAGTAGTTCTGAGCTTCTGAGGGCAGTGGAGGCGTGCTGCATGGAGGCCTGGGAGGCCTGAGTCCTCCTCAATCCCCCCGGCCTGACTTCTAACTTGTCCTGTGACCTTGGGGGAGGGGGGGCAACTCTGAGCCTTGGGTTTTTCCTCTGTAAAATGGAGATAGAATCTCCTCTGCACCACCCCTCACAAAATCAGAAGGATCGAATGAGACAATGTGTGTAAAGATGCTTTGGAAATCTCAGTGCATCAGGCAAACCTGTGTTATACTTGACAATCCACTTCCTGATACAGCCCAACAAAAAGTGCTGACTCAAGCCTCTGTTGATCTCCCAGACAGGGTGGACTTATCGGCTGCATGAGCTTTGGGGTGAAGTCCCTTCTGACTCCGAACAAGGTGGGTACTAGGGAAGCTTCTAGTAAGGTCATCTCATCGGGGCCAGGGCTGGTACAGACAGGCTTTGTCTGGAAGCCCTTGGGTGAAGCTTCTGTCTGTAAGAGGGTACCCCACTGATATAGGGGACCAGTGGCCTGAAAGCAGCACTGTGTCACCTGCCTAGCTGAGGATTTGGGTCCCCTTATTGGTTTGTCTTGTGAGAGATCAATTGTTAGGAGACCCCAATCCTCCCAGGAAGTTCTGAGCCTGAGGTCTGCTGTTAAGGACATCAGCAGGACCTTTGGGTCCAGAGCTGTCCTGGGTCTGCCCTGGAAGAGGATGGCCAGGTGCTTCCTAGGGCCCATGTGGAACTCTTGATGTGTCCCCCAGGTCTGACAGTTCTGTGTCTAGCAGGGAGGGAACATGCATCAGCATCCCCTGTGGAGCTTTCCTTCAGGCCGATGAGGACTCTGGGTCACTAGTCCCTTATCCGTCTGCTCTCTGTAATGCACCCCCCAGACTGGAAGCTGGTGAGCAGGGCAGGGAGCCACTCCTTTCTCATGTCCCTGGAAGTGTCCAGTGACTTGCTACATGGCTCTGCCACCCAGCTTTGAATCCTTGAAGTGCAGACTGGGGTAGATGGCTAAGGACCCTTTATCCTGCACATGGGTCCAGTGATCTCCTGTTCACAGCTTTGGCGTCAGTCCTCTTGGGAAAAGAGACTCCCCTGGAGACTGCTCTGGAGACTTGGGACACCCACTTTTTGGCTTCTCCATCCCTCTTTCACTACTTCCCTTCTGTTTTATTTACATTTATTGGGCTTCTACTATATGCCAGGCATAGCATTTGGCATGTCAGAGGGCCTGTGCACAGCCTGGTGGGGGAGGCAGGCAGGCAAATAGATGGCTGTCCTACTAGGGTAAGAGGCTGTGGGAAGGTGTACAGGGGACAACCAGCTCTGCCTGGAGCCTCAAGGGAGGCTTCCTGGAGGCACAGGGGTAGCAGCCTTGGGGCCAGAAGGCTTGAGTATCTGGCTGTCCTGAGGGGGGTTGTCTGGCTGCTACTGGTGTGGTTAGTGGCTGCCTGAACTGTGCCCTCTGCCTCCTGCCTGAGCATGTCATTCTTTCTCTCATGACAGGAGATCAGTGGCTGGTACTACCTTCTGAGGGAGGACCTGGGCCGGACCAAGCACCTGAAGGTGGCCAGGCGGCGACTGCGGCCACTGAGAGATGCATGTATATCCGCTCTGCTTCCCTTCCCAAGACCTGTCGCCTCCCTCCCTTCCCTACATCAGTCCCTGTGTTTGGCGGCTCCTGCCACTCCTGACTGTGATCCGGGTGCAGGGCTTCTTGTGAGCGCTGGCTGGAATGGGCCTGACCTCATGCAGTTCAGCTCCCCTTACCCTTTGCTCACAGAGGGCCAAGCTTCAGGTTCTTCCCTAGTGGCTTCCTCCCACTCCATGTCTTAGAGATCCCCTCTGGGCTGCCAACCTCTGTGGAGGCCCTGCCATGAGTACTGAGGCTCAGGACTTTGGTTCTGCCATTCCCACATGGATCCCTGGCTCCTGAGCTCTTGCCTGGCTGGAGCCTGGGGCATCCCCATATCTTGGAGGTCAGGAGTAGCCCAGGCAGCCATGTGGGCCTCTGGTCTGGTGTTGTATTCTGGATGGTCTGTGGAGAGGACCCTTATATGGCAGCAGAAGCTTTCTGACTCTTCTCTGTCACCTTCCAGACCCATTGCTGAGAATGCCAGGAGGTGGGGACACTGAGAATGGGGAGAAACTCAAGGTGGGTATGGACAAGCCTGGGCATTGCTCTGGGGACTCTAATCTGCTCCTTATCAGTTCCTGGCCTTGGAAAACCCTAAGGAGGTCAGCATTTGGTGCTTGAAACTCAGCAAGCCATGCATTCAGAAGGGATTAATTCTTGTCTTTCCCAAGGTGTATTATAGATCATAAATGCCTTTCTCGGGTTATCCAAGACTCCATCCCTGGAAATGGAAGAGTCTGGATCTTACTGACTTTTGGCCTTTAGAGGCCAAGTCCTCCCCTTCCTATAGCCCCCTAGGCCCCTGGTTCCCCTGACACTGTGGCTGAATCACCTTCTCAGGCCCATTTGATATGGGGGCAACTATGATTCTGAACCTGAGACGAGTGGGTTCTCACTCCAGTAGTGCTTTGAATCTGGAGAGGAACCTTCTTCACACAGAGTTTTGGGAGAGTTTTCCAAAATTCATCCTCTTTATAGGGCATGGCAGGTGACCCATGGTTTTCTTTGACAACTGAGAGAGGGAAAAACCAACTCCCAGCAATCGATTAGCTCCTCTGTACCTCTGAGGTGGTTGTTACTTTTCCATCTTATAGATGAGGGGGACACATAAGGTTCAGAGACATTTATGCCACTCTCCATGGCCGCACAGCCAGCCAGTGGTGGAGGTAGGCTCTGAGTAAGTCTGGTGGCCTCCTAAGTGCGCTGGAGCACACTGCCTCCTGCTTGTGACCTCATTGGGAAGATATGACATTAATATATTTCAAAATACTATCTTACATATAGGTGTATTATTTACAAAACATTTTTATTTTCATTGACTCCATTCACTTATGGCTGAGAACAAGTCCAAGGTTCTGTCCTCACTGAGGGCACAATCTAGACTGGCACTGTCCAGTATGGAAGCCACCTGCTGCCTGCAGTGTGGCAAGTGTGAGGAACTGATGTGAACTTCTGGTTGGCTTGATAAAATTCACTGTATTGGACAGCCTTGTACTTGTCAATTAGAGTAACTTGCTGGGTCTGTTAGATCTGTTTTCTGTGGCTTCATTGAGTTGGAAACTTTCCTCTGGCTTCACTGGGGAACTGCAAAGACTCTTTTCCCTCTTTCTGTACTTACTGAGCAAAGAGAGGAAGGTGACCAGGAAGGCTCTTGGTGATTCATGGGAATTACACTGACACCAATTCTGTACATAGCCCATGAGCTCCTGAGGTCCCTGTTCTCAGGTGCACTGGATTTCCTGTGTTTACACACTATCTGTAGGACTCAACAGAGAGACTGTGACTGCCAGAGGCTTGGTTAGGGCTCCAGAGAGCTCCAGAGGTCACCTGTTCAACCCCTGCATTGTACAAGGGGAGGATGAAGGCGCCGAAACCTGGATAAACTGCCCACAAGTCATGCAGCAACCAAAGCTGGGCTGACCCAGGGGACATGGGGTCACCTTCTATCATCAAGGACAGAAATGGGCTTCCCAAGGGACTCTGAGATGGACAAAGGGAGCTGGACTTACCATGTACTGCTCTGCAGGACACAATCTCAGTTCAGGGCCCAGTCCCCCCACTTCGCTGCTATGTAATCATAATCTCTCCCGGCCTCAGTTTCTTTGTCGGGAGATGAGGAGGCCAGATGGACTGACGCTTTGGAAATGCCTTCCATGGTGGACTTTATAGCACCACATAGTACCACATCCTTACAGCAGCCCACTTGTATGGGTGAGGAAAGTGACTTTTAAGTGGCTTCTGAGTGGCAGTCAGACTCTTAATATTTGTGTTCCTTGTCTTGAGATGGGATGCCTGTGAGTGCAACCCCACCCGGTGTCCTTGGATTCTTTAGGCTGGGGCAGCCCCCTGGATTTACTGCTGGGGACCCTGGGACTTGCAGGGGGAGGTGGCGTTGTTATAGCATTGCCATTGCCCTGGCGCGTTTTCTGCCTGGGTTCCCCTCCAGTGAGGGGTGTTTCTGAGAACACTGGAATCACAAAGTGGCCCGTGGCGGAGAATGCAGTCAGAACAAAGGCGCCCTCTCCCCGCCAGGCTGGGGGAATACTAACTAGTTGACAGGAATTTTAATATAAAACTCTCCCTCTTCCTTGTCATTCTGAGGTTTCAGGAAGCCTTCGGGCTTATCGTGCAGAGGCACACAGCACAGACAGGGCTTGGGGAGGTGAGAGGTGATTTCCTGCCATTCTTCTGCGGGGCGGGCTTCCCAGGGCGGTCATGCCAGGCTGACGGGCGCAGTGCGGGCTCCCGCTGCTGGGGGGAGAACAGGGTTTTCATGGGGCAGCAGCCTAGGCAGGACCCGCAGCCATGAACCGCTTCAATGGGCTCTGCAAGGTGTGCTCGGAGCGCCGCTACCGCCAGGTGGGTGCTCGGCCCCAGGGGGGAGCCTAGGGCCTGCGGGGGGGTTGGGGGGGTCGAGGGTGGGGCTCATCTGTGTAGGACCTGTCTCCACACAAGCGCTTCCTTGCCTCCCCCTGCTCCCTGCAGGCTCATTTTGATCCGGGGAGGATAGGGGCAGGAGCTGGACCCATGGCCCTGCGTGTTGCCTACTACCCCTGTGTGGGGTCAGCCAAGGCCCTACACTGACCTTACCACTGGCTGGTGATGTGGTGTCCTTGGGGAGATTACCTAGCTGACTTTCTATGCTTTTTATTTGGGGAAGAGTGTGGGTTAAAATAAGACATCTCAAGCCTGAGACTGAAGATGCCTTAGTTGCCGAGCAGCTGGGTATTTCTGGAGAGGAGTTTGTGTTTTTGCTAACTTTTTCCACTTCTGATGGGACAGCCGTGCGGTCCTGCCCTCTGCATGTGTGTTGGTGTGTGCTTGAATGTGGGCCAGCATGTTTTCGTGTCTATGTGTGTGTGCACGATTGTCTTCCCCTGTAGCCTTGATGCCTTGTGCTGGCTTAGGCTTTCTCTGGCTTTGGAGTCTAACTTTACCAAGAGGGTTTGGCCTCAGTTTTGGGAAGGGGGACAGAGTGAGGAGTAATGATCCTCTTAGCCCCAGAGCCTCTTTTGGAACTGTGATGGAGCATTTTTTCTTATAAAAAA